TGCTGAATGGATGTTCATTTTAATCACTTTTTTGGGGGACTGTGAAGGGCTGAGAAAGCTGGCTACCTCCCGCTTAATAACATTACGCTCTAGACACTCACTCAAGCATATTTATGATCTGCGTTCCCAGCGTGTTTAGATGTTATGGCAACTCACTTATTATGACAAATTCTGCTCCAGTAAAAGCCCACATAAAATCAGAATTGGACTTGTGTGGCTTTCAGTCCATATCTATTAGCACTGAGATCATCTATATGCTGGCGGACTCCTGAAAACATTTATATTGCATTTATAATGAACAGTCTTTCTCTATTGAGGAAAAACAGCGGCCTTTGCAAATTTCTATGCAGTAAAATGCTCTATTGAAATTGAATGTAGATATTCACGAGCAGAACTGAATATCTGGATATCTGAATATCTATTTTAACTAAAACTAAAACCATTATAAAAAAAAATATATATATATTTTGTTACTTGAAATAAAATAAACATTAACTGAAGTGAGATAAAATATAAAAAACTTTATACTTATTTTATTTAATATAACATTTTTCATTTTCATTTAGTTTAACTTGAATGACTAAAATAATTAAAAAAATAATAAACTAATCAGTACAAATTAATAAAAACTAGGCCAATGTTATTTTAGCATAACTGAAATACTATGATGGTTTTTATTAATATTTTGAATATTAAATGTTTCCATTTTCATTTTAATTTTAGTTAAAATTGTAGTAATTATGTTGTGTTATTAATAATTACTATATATATATATATATATGTGTGTGTGTGTGTGTGTGTATATATATATATATAGAGTAAATTTTTATTTATGTTTTAGTTATTTTAGGACATCAAGTTAAACTAAATTAAAATGAAAAATATTGTCCTATTTATATTTGATTTTATTTCAGTTAATTTTTTTGTTTTAGTTTTTAATGGTTTTAATTTTAGTTTTACTTTTAGTTAATTATAATAACCCTGATATATGGACATTCAAAATAATAATAATAATAATAATTAAAACAACAAAAACACACAACAAAATTACTTTAACTGAAATTGAAATGAAAACAGAAAATATAAAAATCAAATCTAAATCAAAATATTATTAAAAAAATATAAACGGATATCATATAATAATATAATAGTATAAATTATAATAGTATATAAATTATATTAAAGTAAAACTGCTGAATATTTATATATAATCTACTAACTGGTACTCTCCGATCAATTTGGCAATAAGGGGAAAATAAACTAGAGAAAAACACAATTCAATAGGAAATGGTTTTCTTTAAGGGGCTGTGGAGACACAACACCCACTAAAGAGCTGAAAATAGAGCCCAAACTAATCAAGAAACAAAAGCAGACCACAGATGAGGTGGGAGATCAGAGGAAATATTATATTACTCAACCGCAGGGAGGAAAGATGTGAGAGACAGAGCGGCTCTCACTGATCAACCACAAGAGCTTTAACCCCTCCTACAGCAGAGCAGCTGAGAGCAGCCAGTGTTCTGATTGGTGGAGGAGAAGGAGTGGGCGGAGTCAATCAAACTATCAGACAGTGAACACCTGCATCTCTGGTCAAAACAGGCCAGCATTTCAAAGCAGTGTTACTTTAATATTATTTATATACTATCTTAGTATTTATTAATATTTTAAAATAGCTTTTTTTATTATTATTATTATATTTCAGTTT